ACTCCTTCACCCAGGTCTGATGTAGGGTTTAGGCATGTGAGATTTCACGCTTTTCTCTGAAGTTTTTGCAACCCATAGAATTAGGAGACACAACAATAGGACGTTGAAGATACTTATCTAGACAAAGTGAAGTCCTGCAGAGCATCTTTCCGTGTACACTACAGATGAGTTTCTGTTTACTCAGGAAAGACTGAAAATAAGATACCATTAAAGACAATCTACCAGAGGCAGAAGGCCGAGAGTTTCAAGGTCACATTAAGATGTGTTTTTATCTGTCTCAATGAGGACAGGAGACTGGGCACCCATCCTACTAAGGAGCATGGCAGCAAGGATAGTACATTTGCAGCTGAAACAGTGACACTTGCAAGAACATGGATTTGAAAGGTCAATAAGATGCTCATGCAGACAGAGATGGTTTTTCCAATGAGAAAAAGTGAGATGAGGGATTTTCTTCACAGTGAGACAAAGATCCTTGCAGGTGCAACAGCATTTGCACATCTCAAAACAGGTGCACAGATCGAGGATTGATATGTTTAGAGAGCAAGAGCATTTTCCTCTTGAATTCAGAGTAACAACTTCAGGAGGGGAGCTAAAAATATACAGTAGGGCTGGTGCTGTGACATAATGGGTTAATCTTACACCTGAAATACTGGCAACACATGTGAGTACTGGTTTGTCCTGGCCACTCTGTTTTTGATCCAGCTCCCTGCTAATGTGCTTAGAAAGCAGCGGAATGTGGTCCAAATCTTTGGGTGCCTCACCTCCAGGTGAGGTGGATCCTGAAGAAGCTCCTGGTTGCTGGCTCCAGTCTGGCCCTGCACTAGCCATTGCATCCATTTGGGGAGTGAACCAGAGTAAGGAAGATAGTCTCAGACTCTCTCTCTCTTTCTCTTTCACTTTTCCTTTCAAATAAATAATGTTTTAAAACACATAATAGCAGTGACAATGTGAACTTACTTGCTAAAAATAGTGCCTCTCCCGGGGGGCAGTTTGGGGTCTTACATGCTCTTCCTCTTGGATATGAACTGACAGTTTCTGCATTTAATGTAAAGGGTTGGGGAGGTTCCCTTAGTCCTCTTCCATCAGAATGTCAAGGATAATTTTCCTTCTATTGCAACTACTTAAACAGTGCAATGTGTCTGTACTCCTCTCCCACATACAGGAGGAGTACACATTCTAAATACTTTACCTAAGTTTGCAGAAAGCAGCCTCATCTGTATTTTAATGGAGAAAACCAGGATTTTTCAGAAAGGTGCAGAGAGAACTGATCAGTCTGGAGAGAGAAAATGCCGTGAAATCTTGAGGACTGCCAACATACTTAGCCTTGATCAGCAGTTCAGGCAGCGCCTTAATGGGTGCATCTCTAATAATGATCTTGATTGAAATATCACCTGCCTTCACAGAATGGGACAGGTGATGACAATAATAGTTTCCTTCTTTCAGAGCCCTCGCTAAGGCGCACCTCTCTTTCATTCAAGGACCCCTAAACCTGTCCTAACTTATTGAGAATGAGCACCCTTATGGAAATACTTAGTGGAGAAAGATGAAGGTCTGACTGCCAAGAGCCTCCAGCTTCCATTTAGATTTGGCAGCAGTCCAGTGACATCTCAGATGTCCAAATAATCAGACATCCAGCACACCGCACTCTGGTGAGTTCCAGGGGATTCGTTACAGCTTGGCATATTTCATCACTTTGAATATGGGACAACTAATCTGGGCCTGGGATCTGGACAAAACTGTTCATTTAAGTGACTCTAATCTGCAGGTAGGTTCTGATTATCCTGTGCCTCTCCCCTGGATCCATCTGCAGTTTCCATAGCAGCCGAAACCCTAGTGAAGCAGAAGCATCTGGCCCAGGATCAGAGAAAAGTCCTAAGGGGAAACAAATCTGCTCAATGACTACAAAAGGGGTTGGAGAAGGCCTGGAGGACACTGCAATCCTTTGAGGGGTGACAAGAGAGGATGGTGAGGAGAAAGAGGAAGAAAGAGAAAAGGGAAACAAGGAAATGAAATCAGAAGCATGTAGGAGGCTGATTGGCGCAGGAGAAGTGCAGGCATAAAAGAGTGATACAAAAGAAGGGGAGAAACGCAACACTCCCTGGGAAGCGACAAGGAGCTGGCTGGCCAGCAAGAGACTGAGAAGAGACATCAATCAGGAGACGTAGCCTCCTAACATAAGGCAAAGGGAGTCTGCCCTGATGATAAATGTTCTGCAGATTCAAAGGCACAGGCATCCTGCAGCACTAGGGACCTGGCATTCTACTGTGATGAATCATGTGCTCTACGGATGAGGAAAGTCTGTCCACTGTGCTGGCCCCTCCTTCAGAAGTGCCTGGAGGCCTCTCTCCATCACTGATGGTCTCATCAGCTGAAGTCCCTCATGCAGTGCCCATGCAAGCAGGAACACTGACAGAGATAGAAGATCCATTTGCTGGCAGGGATGATCAAGAGGTCAATGCTATGGAGCAGCGGGTTAAATCCCTGGCACCCATCCTAGAGCACCAGTTCAAACCCCAGAGCTGTTCCACTTCCAATACAGCCTCCTATTAATGCATAGGAAGCAGAGGAGGATAGCTCATGTACTTAGACTTCCATCACAAATGTGGGATGGGAAGATGAAGTTTCTGGCTCCTAGCTTCGGCCTAGGTGAGAGGAGGCTGTTGCAATCATTTGGGGGAGTGAACCAGTGAGTTGAAGATTTTTTTTTTCTCTCTCTCTCCCTTCTTCCTTATTTTCTCACTCTGTTGCTTTACACATCCTATAAATAAATAAACATATCTTAAAAATAGTAAATAGGGTTCACGTTCTCTCTCATTTTGGGGAGTTAATAAACATCAACCTGAATTCAGGCTAGTGACCACTAGAGGTTGTGGAGTGGGGGTAAGAATGTAAAGAGGAGATGAAATCAGGTTGACTAGCAGGTGTCAGTGCACAGAAGTAGCACGATCTGGTGTTTCACAGAGCAACGAAGCAGTGGCAGTTCATAGCCATGTCCCCTGTGAAGAACTGGAAGATAGCATCACATGAGCAACAAATATAGAAAAACAAAAGATAAGAAAATGGGAACACTGATTTTATGATTTGACAAGCTGATGCTCCATGCATGCTGAGATATTCCATAACAACCTGGAAAAGGTGGCACCTCTTCTTGTTTATCAAAACACTTTTAATTTTAAAAAGTATGAATGTGGTGTGGGATGACTCCCAGATATTTAAGCCAAATGCAACTGAATACTTGTTTTCTGAGTATATCTATCAGGGCACATCAAGATGATTTGAAAAGGCAAACTCAGCACCATGCATGGCCCTAGTCTGATATTATTTTAGTTTTCAAGTTTGGTGGGCACTATGTTCCTCTAGATAGACACACTGCGGGCAAACAGCTCTGAGCACCCTGTGCCTTGTAGGGATCTTCTGCTATGAATAGATATAGGACCAAAGCCTCACTCCTTCCAGACTTCGCCTTCCAACACTACTAACTGCCATGCTGATATGGAAGTCATCCAATCCCTTCCATAAAGAACATCTTGAGGGGACGTCCCAGTTACAGCAGGCCTTTGAGGGTGGGCAGCTAGAAAGTTTGCACAGCATCACATCTCAGCTTCTCCACTTAGCCCTGTTTGCTTGTCTTCGTTTGCAGGGAACTGATCCAATGAGCGCCTTCCAATGCATTTCTTTCACATCAACCACTCTCTTAGGGAGGCAAACGACAGTCACCACGGTGTGTCGGTGTGTCCATAATCCTTACAATGACACTTCTCAGCATCACCCAGACTTTCAGTCATGACACTTTCAGCATGCAAACACCTATACAGAACTGTGCATGCCATATTTCATAGTAGCTCTTAATTGAAATGGAATTAGGGCTCACACTCACACTGCTGCTCAAATGCCACCCTCTCAGAGAGTGTCTCTGATAAAATCCTTGTCATCCTGCCAATGTGTACTGCTCTGTAGTCTCCATTAAGCACCACCTGTTACATCGTGTGCTTGCTTGTTTCTGTCGTCTGACTCACGAGAGTCGGGGTTTCCGAGAGCAGGAACTGGACTGCTTAGGTTTGCTGCTGTATCCCCAAGGGCCTAGAATAGAGGCTGAATGACACAGAGGCAACTAGAATACTTTTATGCTCCTTCCTGCCCCTTACCTGGCTGCAAAAAGCTCGCTGAAAGATGGTACATGGCATTGTTTCTTACATTCGGAAGGTTTTAATGTTCAGTTCATGAAAACAGAAAATGACATTAAACATGGTCTGCATAACATCTGAAATGTAAATGAGGCAAAACTTTTCAGTTTAGTCACACTTTCAATATTTTTTTTTATATTGAATCGAAGTAAAACAACCACCAAACCACAAAAATGACCAGACTTCTGGCAGAGCTGAAGAGGAATACACACAGGCATTTTCCTTTTAGGAACAGAGTTGTGAAACTCTCACTCATCATTATGTGTTTGTTCTTTTTAATCTCTGAAAACAAGCCAGCTGAACAATTCCAGCAAGACTAGAAAGTTCCATCACCACAGTTGATGTTTCAGAATCACACCTCACTACCACATCACTCAGACACAACTGGGATGAATTTTCAAGACACCAGAAGGATCCTTGCATAAGATCTCTTAAAGCCCTGAGAATAAACCTTTCTTCCAAAGAACACCACACTTCTTGGTGGAATTACATTATTCTCAGGCTGTTGGAACAGTAGAACTGCTTGGACTAAGCAACCAGCACCCTGACCTCCCACACATGGCCAGTCATTCTCTGAGTGCCTCCCATGCACCAAGCACCCGCTGTTGAAACGGCAGAACTGCTTGGACTAAGCAACCAGCACCCTGACCTCCTATACATGGCCAGTCATTCTCTGAGTGCCTCCCATGCACCAAGCACCCGCTGTTGGAACGGCAGAACTACTTGGACTAAGCAACCAGCACCCTGACCTCCTATACATGGCCAGTCATTCTCTGAGTGCCTGCCACGCACCAAGCACCCACCAGACTTTCTTACCTTTGGGAGAGATGTGTCTCCAGGTAACCGTGGGCTCCGGTCTCCCCGTTGCTATGCAGGTGAGGCTGATGTTGTTTCCTTCATTAATGGAGATATCTGAAGAAATCTCTACGATTTTAGGAGACACTGCGGAAACAATACAAACAGGGAGAAGGAAAATAAAACAGCTGCATAAATGCTTCCATGTTTTTTTCTTAATGGTAGTTGGCTACAGAGCCCAGAGTGTGAACACATAACTTATCATCCTAAAGATCAGACATAATGGGGATTATCTAAAATTGAAAAACACCTTACCGTAAAATCAACTTACATTTCCTCTTATTTAAGCAGAGTCAGGGAATCCGAATGGAAATGAATTCCATGGCAATACTGAAATAACTCTTATTTTAACCTCTGCCTTATTCCCATCCTCACTCACTCCCACCCACTCCAACACACCCTACGAATCATCCACCACACTGTATTCAGAGATGTGCTTATATAATACAACTTTCATCACAGTGCATATTTGCCCAACTAGCTCCAATCACTCCCTCTCACCTACCAGATCAGAACTGTACTCCACCCTGGTATATGCAACTGTTCAGAATCCAGCATCAAATCACATTTCCACTGCCATTACCAGTTATTACAGATCTCCATTATCCCCAACACACAGCTATTCCTGGTCATGACGTCTGTAGATCCATATTGTTTTTTACAGCCCTCTGAGAAAACTCCACTCCTCTCTTAGGGACCAGATTAAATGCAGCTTCCTTTACTGTGAATGTCCCTCTTGTTCTGCCTCTCTGCCCTCCTGAACAGTAGGGCTATGCTGTTGATTCCTCATCCATGATCCCAGAGTATCAGAAAACATCAGTTAAAGGAGAGGGCCATGCTAATATGTAGGGCTGGAGTCAGCCCTCACTTCCTTGGCCTCTACTTTTAGAGTCAATTCTCATAGCAGCTTTACGGGAGGAGTACAGAATCCCAACACGATGGAGGAAATACTCTATTCCTGCCAGCCACTGCACCTGTGTGCCTGTTTTGTTTAAGGATTCTGGTCTGAAGTTGCTCTTGCACATTTAAGTCTGATTCTCTAGAATCAGGTTTACCCCTAGTAAATGTGATGCTGGGTTCCCCGTGTGGTTACTCATTTGTCTTATCTGTCAGATGGCTTACAATTCAAGTAGAAAAAGCAAGCACATCCTTTATTGAGCCCCAATTCTAGAACTCAATCTGCTGTGTTACATCTATATACTTAGTATCCACTCACCTACCAGAACATAGCTTTTATGGCTTCCTAATGTGTAGCCATAGTAAAAGCTCAACAAATATTTATAGGTTTGACTTGGCAATGCTTATTCAGAAGAAACATGTTCCCACCTGCTACACATTCCTCATAGTCTCAAAGTTGGGTCCTTAGCATCTACTCTCTCAGTCCAGCTCATGTGGGATGAGACAAACTGGTTCTTGGTAAAGTAAGTGGGCTCTCTATCTGGATGCCTGTGGTTCTTCATGCTGCATTCTTTTTTAAATAGCAGCCGCTGTACTATATAATTCCTCAGAACTATTGCATTCAGTAATTCCAGGCATATCATATGCCCAAAACACAAATGTGATTGATCTGCCAGAAAACCCAGGGCAAACCCAGCAGGATGGATCACTCTGATTTGGAAAATTCCAGTGGTGGCCTTTCCTCTATTTGTACCATTTATTCACTCAGTTACACTTCTACTGCTTATTATCTTCCATGAATATGGAGCATTATAAAGATATCTTCTTGGGTCCAACATGGTGGTCTAGTGCCCAAAGTCCTTGCCTGGCACATGTAAAGATCCCATATGGGTGCTGGTTTGTATTCTGGTGGCCTTGCTTCCCAACAAGCTCTCTGCTTATGGCCCAGAAAGCAGTCAAGGATGGCCCAAACCCTTGGGACTCTCTGCCCTTGTAGGAGACCCGGAGGCAGCTCCTTGATCCTGGCTTAGGATTGGCTTAATTCTGGCTGTTGCGGCCACTTAGGGAGTGAATCAGCAGAGGGAAAATCTTCCTTTCTGTCTCTCCTCCTCTCTGTATATCTGACTGTGCAATAAAAATAAATAAATCTTTAAAAAGCTACAAAATCTTCTCTTTCTCTTGTTTTCCAATATTACACTTCTCTTACAGCCCTACAGGGCACCCTAACGGAAGCACCCATTATCAATTAGCAATGTCACAGCTTTGTCTCTTCAGTCCCATTCCACATCAAACTGCTGTCTGACTAATGACACCTATTGGAGTCGTTCAAGGCCTGACTGAATAGCCATCCTTTCCACAAGGCTCTGTCGGGCAACTCTGTGTAATGTCACTCTCCCTTGGGTGGGTCCCGTAGTATTGTGGTACCTCCTTTTTGACACTGAAAATGAACTCTCTTGTGCTACATTTGGTCAATTTTTAAATTCTATGATATGAATCACTTAATACTGAGTTATTAAGAGCAAAAGTCTTACGTTTTTCTGCTGCCCGGCCTACTGTAGTGCAGAGAATAATTGTGTTCAGATTTAAACCCATATGGAACTTGAGATAAAGAGGCGGTGTGTGTATCTTACTTGTCATCTCACAGGTATTTTCAGGTGTTTGGTAGGACATAAATAATGGTGTATTTATGTTGTGAGGTTTGGAGAAACACTATCGGCTCTATAACCTGCAGTATTTAAGATACAATATAGTTTGAAGAAGTTATAGACCCACATGCCATATCAGAGTACCTAGTTTCGAGTCTGGCTCTACTTGGTATGCCATCTTTCTGCTGGTATGCATTTTGGGAGCCAATAGAGAATAGTACAGCTACCCAGGCCCTTCTTTCTGCCTGTGTTGGAGAACTGAATTGAAGTCTCAGGCTCAGTTTAGCCCAGCCCCAGCTGTCACACATTTGCAGAATGAACTAGCAAATGGGAGAGCTCATTTTCTCTTTTTTTATTAAAGATTTGCATCATTATTTTGAAAGCCAGTGTACAGCGAGAGAGAAAGGGAGACAGAAAAAAAAGTGGTCTTCCACCTGCTTGGTCATTTCCCCTGATGGATGCAATGGCCACAAATGTATCAGAATGAAACCAAGAACCAGGAGCTGCATATGGATCCCCCAGATGGGTGGCAGCAGACAGACACCTGGGCCATTTTCCCTGCTTTTCCCAGGCTATTAGCAGGGGACTAGACGGGAAGTAGAGCATTCAACAGGCACACTTGTGCGCATGTATGATGCTGGTGCCACAGGTAACAACTTTACCCACACACTGCAATGGCAGAGCCTCCATTTCCTCCCTTGCCTCTCCAATCAAATCAATATAATTAAAAATATAACATTGTGATTTATGGTGGCCTCAGTTTAAGAGCTAGATTGAGCTTTGCAGAGCAGAATGATAAGTGATAAGTTAATGAGTGAGCTTTTGATTTGCTCTCTGCCTGAACGGTACACATTTCTAAATTCTCTTAGTTTTAGATTCATTAAAACGTGTCTTTGCAAAAACAAACACTTTGATATGTTCACAGGGATTTCACTGGAGTGCTCCCTTCCTAAGCATTGCTCCCCCAGCCATTCACTCATCAGTCCCTGCTCCTCCACATTCTTGGCACTCGCACAGCCTTGCTGGTTTCCTGGAGGACAGGCTGCCTGCTGGAGGTCTGTGCTGCCCTTGCAGACATTGCTTCAAGCATGCAGGTAAGTAATTTATCGATCTGTAATGCACTCTGGGATGCTCTGCAAGGGATTATGTCATGCCAACGCCATGCAATAAAATAAAAAAATGATGGACTTTGTGAGCACAGGGTGATTTAGGGTTTGTAATTAGAAGTGTGCTTAAAGTACATTTTAAGTGGAAATCAGGCTGGGTAATGAATTACTCTTGCTTTGGAAGGGCTTACTGGGAGTTCACTTTCCTGGCTTCTTACATGATAGCTAATCTGCTAATCATACGCTGGAGGACAATGGACAGTCCCCAAGCAGGACAGAAAGTGGTCTGGGCCAACATTGTCAGCACAGTGAGTATATTAAATGAGACAATCACACCTCATGCCTAGAAGAATCATCTAGAGTTGTCTCCTCCCCCTAACAATTGGAGGGTGTCCAACTCATGAGAAGCTGGAGAAGTGCTTGTCCTCCTTGCAATCCTGCCTGAAAGAGTACAACTCGAAGACACAACCTGCCTCTAGATGTATCTCGAAGGCAGGCCCTTCCAGGCACAGAAGTGAGGTGGCTTAACCAGAGGTGCAATCCTAATGATGCAAATTAGGCAGGTATGATGAGAAGCACTGTGTTTTGGGTGGTATTTTCTAGCACACTGTCATTTTTCCAAATGAAATAAAATCAGTAAAGACGTTCTGGGAGTTTATGTGATCCATGCTTATAACAAAGCTTTTGGGCAACTGTGAGATAGGGTAACTTACAGTAATAATTTTTATATTGTTTCCATGGATACTTTCTGTATTTACACCTTTCATCACGGAATGTATCAGGAACACACACAGAGATTGTATTGCTTGCTTTCATTCTTCACTCTTATTCGTCAGTATTCATTGATCAACTCCCATATACCAGCATTATGCTAAATACCTACAGCATAAGCTAAACAGCACAGTCCCTGTCCCCAGGGGTTCACAGTAGCTACATGTGAAAGCAATATAAAAGTCTACTTCTCTAATGTACTGTATCATGGAAGGCCAAATCAGATGTTACAGGGTGACCAAGGAAAGACATTTGAGCCATCCCAGAGATGCAGGGAGGCTTCTAAGTAATCATGTCTGTGGATCAGAGGGAAGGTAAGTGAAATGGCACTGAGAAGGGTTACATCAAGCGACAATGCCAGAGATTACGTCACCTCAGACTAAGCAGTCAATCTGAAATATCAACAAGAGAGATAAAATTGTCCAGGCAGAAAAGTGGAGTTGTGGAGACTGGGAATGAATTCCATTGGATCAGATGAGAAGACAGAAATCCGTACCATGTAGGAAATAGAAGTTTCCACAGGTCATAGCTCTTCTACGTGGGCACCCTTGGCCACGTTTCTTCATTTCCCTGTACCTCTCCTTCCCATCCATAATATGGAGATAAAAACGGAAAAGATTTCACAATATCTTTATTTTTAATGATGTACTTACTTTTATTGGAAAGG